TTTTTAAAATTTTTTTTTTTTTTTTTTTTTTTTTTTTTTTTGGCTCAACTTGCTTAAGACAAAAGCTGATTATTGAAAAGAGAAAACAAGATAACTTCAGACTTTGAATTTTTAGCTTATTCGCTTTTTTGTATTCTCATTACATGAGATATGTCAGACCGTTTAAAATATATACCTTACATTGAATATAAGTCCAATTTTATAAACATTTGCTATGCCCAATTTAACTGTTTTATTCTTTTCAATACGAATGTTTTATTGGAACATTTCTTGAATAGTAATTTCATTACTCCGTGGTTAGTTCAAAGGCGGTCCCTGATTGAGCTAAATGCGTCTTACTTGGCTCGCACATGGATCACTCCGTTCGTTTTGGTCTATCTTAAGTAGTTGGCGTTTTAATTGAGGGAATTAATATTTTTAAGAAATATATATATTTGGGTTTTAATTGGGTATCTGATCGGGACTGATCGGCGCTAATTGTCGAAGCGGTGGCCGATGCGGTTTGAGATCTCTTTGAAGTGCATCATCGCCTTTCGTTGGGCATCGGCTGCCAGCTTATTGGATAATCGGATCAACAGGCAGATGGTCAAGGCCGCAGTGAGACCCACGAAGTAGAAAAGTATCTGAATTTGGGAGCAGTTCCGTCAGTTGATAACAGGTTTGGCTACTCAGCTTTACCTTGTGCCAGATATTCAGTTTTACAGCAACGGACGGGAGTTCCCCTTCCTCGGCTAGACTCACATTCTCAGTGCTTTTCATCATGGTCCTTAAATATTTTTCTGACTCGACGACTCTATCAGATTCTCTAAATATGTATGTTTGGCTTTTGAATCTAAGCTTTTATGTTCAGATATTTTATGTTATTTTTATTTCTGTTGAGCTTTATTTTTTGATATTCATAATATTTTGTATTTACTTCTTAGCCGATGGCGATATTGAGATTTGAGAAATGAATGAATAAATGAGATTACAAACTTTGAATTTATGAAATTGAAATTTTCTCAAGGTTTTCTCGTGTATTCGAAATATTTACAGCACATTTTTATATTCGCTATATATTGTATAAAAAATAGTTCCATCTTTTATACCCTGAACCCATTTGCAATGGGAAATCAGGATATATATAATGATTTTATTAAAAGTATGGATATAACAGGCAGAAGGAGGCGTGGTAGAGCCCATAAAGTATATATATTCTTGATCAGGGCGACGAGCTGAGTCGATTTAGTACTAGAGACTTGTGCTTTTGCAAATGCACATGTTTCAATGTTATTATTACGATCTAATCTCCACAAGAAAAGTTATTAAACCATCAAGTTCTCATAGTAAGTCCACACTTAAGCGCGTAGTCGAGCAATCTCGACTAGAGCTTTCATACTTGTTTTCTCTAGACTATTCTAAGAATTAATCCGCCTTACTAAATAGATTCACTGGCATTCAGTCAATATTAAGTAATCTGGGGCCATGCAGGAAATAACATTAATAAAATCTGAAGTCTTGAGTGCTAATTGTTTACTGTCCATGAGCTCATCTTATATTTTGGTATTCCCCAAGCGCAAAGCAATTACTTTTTTATAAATGGTATGTTTACCTATTAATATGGTATTATTCTATATTTATATACATATATAAGAGAATGATCGATTAACAACTGAGCAGATCTCAATATTTAAATTATTTAAACATCGCTAATACTATATAAAGATGGAAAGAATGTATTCTGTCAACCAGTTTGATGCTGACCTACGCCATTGACTTGACTTGCAAACCCAGTCGATCATTTCATATCGAGATACGGCTGAATGGCTAAGCGGACAACAAGAAACTTGTTTCCAGACTTAGAGGTAGGCACTACGATCGAAGTATATCCAAAATATATGCGACGACTGAATGGAAAACTATGCAAAATAAAAAGGCAGCGACAGCAACCCAGAAATCAAAACAATTAACAACATATGGTTGGGTTAAACTTTGAGATACCCTGTAATACGCCAGGAAAATAAACTGTTTTATTTGAATTTTTGGTAGTACGAGTAATTATAGCTTATAAATATACAGGCCAGCAGTTTAAATCATATTTTCGTCCCCTACCTATAAATATTCTAGTCAGAAATAGTTCAACTTCTTATATAATTGGGACTCGTGTCAAGCAAGTGTGCTGCATACGCTCCGGCTAATTAATCAAACTCGTTTGCCCAGTTCTCTGCTCACAGGGTGTGGAGAGCATCGGTAAAAAACTGGTTTCGTGCGTTTTATCACATATAAGGTTTTGCCTTAGATCGGGCACAAAAGCACCAAAAAAGTTAATAATATATCAACTATAGCTTACCTGTGTGGAGTTCAAGGCTGTTGGACCTTGGCCAGGGGCAAGAGCATCATTCATTTTTGGCTCCGAAGTGAGACAGATGATGTTGATAAGAGTCGTTCAGCGGCTTCGATGGCAGTGTTGATTAAGGTCTGCAGGTTGTGGGTAATTAAGTTTAGTTTATTACTATTATAAGTGTTAAGTATTAAGCTTTTCTTTTTTTTCCTTTTTGGCTGTTGTTTTATTCGCCTCTCTTCTCTCTTCTCTCTTCGGTTTATTTGTTACTTTCTCACTCGCAACTAATTACCAGCAATTTCGGTAATTAGTTGCGAGTGAGACGTGAAGTGCAATTGTAGCTAAGCCGACACAATGAAAAATTGCCTTATTCGTCAGTTGCGGTTCGCGGCGTTACCTGGAACTGGAGGCTGCGATTGGGGCCTTTTCTATTTGAGTTTGGCTCAAGGTGAGGCTTATTTACGGCTTTGGGCTTGGCTATTGTCAGGGGCTTCTGCTGCGAGGTTTATGCGTGGCCGTAATTGTTGAAAATGATTTTTGTTTATATTTTTTGCATAAGCGGATGCAATTTCGACGCCTCATTAATGGCTAAGCTAAAGCGTAACTCAACTCATATGCGAGCTTCCACTTGGAAATGTATGTTCAAGTACTTTTTATGGCTCTCAACTAGGAAAGACCTCTTGATTAAAGAAGAGGAAGGCGTACTTGACTATAAGTAAGTATTTGTTACGTAATTTAGCCAGTAGCCAGTATCCCATTTAATGTTTACTTCAAATTGAATTAATTATTAAGAGCTTTTAATGCAATATTAAACCTTAGTAAAAAAGACGATAAAGTCTGAACTCTACTCGCAATTTTTGCTCAAATGAAAATCTGTATTGAAATAATTATAAACATTTTATATATATAATTATTTCATATATGTATGTATTTACATATTCTGAGTCTTTTTAATATAGAGAGACATCGATGAGGCACTCAATTCTAATTTTTTGTCACTGGGTTACATACAAATTATTTATAAAATAGGTACACATATAATTTACAGAATATATAATTGCGACTTTGAAGCGCAATTATTTTCTTTCTATATTTAATTAAATCAAAGTCGAACAAAACATTTGATACAATTAAACAACAAATTGTAGTCAAGATATTGCAACTGCAGCTGGTTTTTGTACATTCAGCTTTCATATCGCTGTTGTTTTTTTTATGGTTGTTATTATTGTTTCCCTGTCGTAGCTGCAATGAGGCCAAAGTCCCGGCCAGCAGTCACATCACACAAGGCAACAATGTTGAATGATGAGGCATCTTCACTTTCACTATGTGTTTCATTTTCTCTCTAATACATTTTCGCTCTTCACTCTTTGTTGTTAGTTTTTTTTTTGCACTCCAGCTATGGCAACCTAAGCAACCTTAGCCGCCCACTCTAAGTGAGGGCTCGAACAGCAAATCTATCTATCTATCGGCCTGAATAAGATCTTCAGGCAAAGTTTTGAGGTACACACTTGTTCACTCTTGTTGCATATGCGATTTCCGTGAGGTTCCAGTTGATTTTGCCGCCAAATGTTTACTGCTTCATTGTTTCGTTTGTTCGTTTTGCCGGTCGCGTCTTTAGGCCAACAGCTCAGCTCGTCAACTGCGCTCAAGCCGAGTCGCTGCTCAAGCTTAAGCTTATGGCTTCAGCTGGCAGCAGCCGCCGTCTGCGTCGACATGGCGACGTCAAAGTTGGCTTCAGATTGAAACAATACAAGCTCCGCAGCGCAGCTGCACCTGCAGCTGTCAGTCTATGTGTATGTGTGTGTGTGTGTGTGTGTGTGGGTGTGTAGCAGTGTTTGGGTGAGTAACCGCTGGCTCTGCTACAAGTATCTCAGATAGAATTTGATTGCTGCGTTTGATTGTAGTTTTGGTTCCTTGCGTGCATATACTTAGTTAGTTGCACGCACGTGCAAGTTGCTGGCATTAATATACCCTGTATACCATTGAGTATATCAATGGCACAGTACGGAGTGTCGCTGTTTTTTAGTTTAAACAAAAAAAGATTAAATTCAAAATGTTTCATACAATTTTTTAACATTGTTAAATTTAAAAAAAAAAAAATTTATTTAAAGTTTTATTGTATTATTAAGTGATATTTTAATATTTTTAAATTTTACTCTATTTTTTTTTATCTATTGAAAATATATTTTTCTCTTACTTATGGTTCATCTCCTCGTGTTCTTTCCGTTGTAGCATATTCGAGGATCACGTGGAATGGCGACGTACATATGTAACTTACTAACAGATCGGTTTCTTATATGATTGTCTCTCGCAGACCGATCGCCAGTGTCGCCATAAAAAAAACTGACGAAGAGAACAAGCGAGAGAGAAATGGAGGGAAAAGAGAGCCTAAGAAACTGCTGTTAGAATTTCTGCACGCAACATGCGAAGGGTAGAGTGAGGCAGGGGCAGAGCAAGACAATTGCATTTAATTCGAAACACGTGTTTTGTTCGGCACTCTTTACCATATATACATACATATTTACGTGTATATATAAATATATATGTTATATATGTATGTGTTGGCCCGTAGTCGTGAAGAGCGACAGAGTGAAGGGAGAGGGTGGAGGTAGTCAAGCCCTCTCCTCCGCCGGTCATGCAACAGCGTTTAGGAAAGCTTGTAATTCAAATACACACAAGTTTATATATATATATATATATATATTAACATGACTTGGCTAAATTTTCTCAAGAGCAGAGCTCAAATGAACTAAATGCACTTATGGGAGTTTCGGAATGGGGTTAATTGTCAATTCGAAACTATTTTAAGATTTCCGGTGAGAGGTAGTTAGTGTTACTGATATACATGTAATCAAATTATTTCTGGGTTTCATTTACCAAGAAGGTAAATGTGAACTTATTTGGTGTTTGTGTGGATCACTTGATAATTCATTAAAATCAGACTTCAAATCAGTGTTGATTCAACAGTCTACGAGTCGATTAGCTCGTTCGAGTGTGCTAAAGCGTTTTCGCAAACGAGTTGAGTGTATTGATTTACGTTTATATATGGATAGACAGTTACCTTTGGTGAGTATGTGTGCTTGGATGATAAGCAAGTAGCTAAAATTATTTATCTTTCGTTTTTATAATTGCTGGTGCTTTCTTCCCATTCGTAATGGGGGCTTAAAAGGAAATAGTGGAAGCCTAATGGAGACATATGTCAACTCATCTAAACTGGAAAACTGAAAGGCATTTTATACTGACATCGAATTTGGAATGCTCTTTGTAAGAAGATCGAATAATATTTATAGTATTAATTAGTATAAATCTGAATAACGAACTGACTAACATTATACACTTTATTGATAATAATAATCGAGCGTTCCCGACTAGCACATGTGTTGTGTGTGTATGTGAGACAGAGACAGATAGAGAGAGAGAGAGAGAGAGAGAGAGAGAGAGAGAGAGAGAGAGAGAGAGAGAGAG